TCGTTGACCTTCCAAAGCAGGTCGCGACTGCGACGGCCGCCGCTGTTCGCGCATTTGATCTCTCCGAAGAGGAAAAGGCCGCCGCCGCCGCAACACGCCAAAGTGCTGCACCCTTTGTTGCAAAGATTGACGCCTGCAAGAACTGCTTTGACATTGGCCAGCTTGAGGGATTCCGATTTGATGAGCAGCATGGCGACATCATTTGCAACTGCTGTTTCAGGTATGCCAGCTCCAGCTATGTGCCGCTGGCTCTGAAGGCTCGGACCGCGAGAAGCGTCGGCGTCATTGAAGGCATCAGGAACAGATCCACTCTCGGGCCCGCGCGTGCCTTCTTTTCTGTTAAGGCTGGAGTCAAACAGCATGTGCAGACCCAGATTCATCAGTGGTGCTCCCATCACGAGGTTGTCGAGTCGCAGTATGCTAGTGAGCGCCGTCGGGCTGGCATCATCATCAGTAAGCTGATCCTACAGGCGCCGGCACCGCTCACTACCCACCATCCTCACTGCATTGCACACACACGAACGCACACATGCACACACACGCACACACACACATACACACACACACGCGCTCGCCCCTCCGCCTCTGTCGCGCTGCAGGGCGTCAAATGCCACGACTCCGATCTGTCCTTTGAGGGCCGCGTCACCATGCTGCAGACCATTGGTGTCGATGTTGGGACAAAAAACCACTCTCGCTGGTTTGTCCCTCACCTTCGCTCATCCTTCCACGCCGTCACCTGCGCCGGCCTTGAGCTAGTGCTCACCAAGGTGATGCCAGCCATAGACCGCCCGCCTCCCTCGCCGCCCCGCCCCCTGCCGCTGCCGCCGATTCCCTCGGCCAGTTTGACGATGACAACTACGACCCGGGGCAGACGTATGATGTCCCCCCCGCCGCTGCCAGCCCTGCTGCTGGCCCCGCTGCTCCCAGCCCTGCTACCGACAGCGGCGGCGGTGGCGCTGATCCAGGAGCTGTCGATGACATGCCGGCATTTAGTGTTGTCTGGAGAGAATTCGTCATGCTGTCTAAGCTGCTCACCGAGTGGGCACCTCGGCCAGGCTTTCAATCCTGGAACCGCGCGACCAGCAGCACCGTCATCATGAAAACTGTATTCACCGACGCCCGCTTCTACTCTTGCTGCAAAAACTACCTCTACCTCTGGGCGCACATGGCTACAAAGTCAATGTGTGAGGCTGTTGTGGAGGGCATGGGCGGTGTGTGGGACCGCTGCGACCGCCAGGGCAACTGGGTCACTGCAACTGAGGAGGCTGTGATCGCGTGGAACGCGCCCCAGCCGTACCATCCCGTCGCCGTGCCCTTCATCAACCGTGCGCTCGAGAACTGGGGCGGGCTCAACTGGGAAGACCGCTTTCACCACAACGACAGGTCACGTGCACAGAGGGGCGGCATTGGAGCTTCGCTGCAGCGGGGTCTGGTCATGACGCGGAAGAAGGCAGAGACACAGCGTCTGCCAGCCGAGTGCTACGACGTCAGGCCGAAGCCGCGTGGCCACAACTGACTGCAACAGACTGTCTTCATGTGTCTAGACTCTACCGCGGTGCGCTCCGCGCACATAGGTGCCAGCGCGCTCCGCGCGGTATCTAGCCAGCGCGCTCCGCGCGTGTGTGTCTAGCTAGCGCGCTCCGCGCGTGCGGTGTCCAGCTAGCGCGCTCCGCGCGTGTCCGGGTAGAGCACCGGCGCGCTCCGCGCGCATGAGAATCCAGTGCTTATGCTCATAAGCACTAAAAGCTCGTTTCTGCAGCTTGGGGCCCGCGCTCCGGCCGCTCCTTGGCTCCTGGCCGTCTCTTCCGAGCGGCTTTGCGCGCCCCCAACATTCCCCTGACAGCAGCGCCTCGCGGTGTGGGCTGCGAGGTAGGTCACTCGGGGTGGGTGACGCAGGGAGGGGGCGGCGGGGGAGCACGCCGGAGTATCGACGGTCTTCCCGCTACTCGCTCGTAGCCCACCACCTTCCCGGCAGCCCCACCCGCTCGGTGACGTCCTCACTTCTCCCCCCTGCCCCGCCCCCCCCCCCCTTTCAGGCGAGGCCCTGGCCACCAAACTCGCGCTCGTCGCGCTCCGGGAACGGGCAGCAGCGCGACGCTTTTCGAGAGCGAGCGGCGGCGGCGGCTCAGCGCCAACCTCTGCAACGCAGGGGCTGGCTGCGTGGGCCCCCACCACCGGACTCCGTCGGGCTCGCGTCTCCCTCTCCGCGCAGGAGCTGAGGGGAGCGCAGTGTGTGTCTGTGTTTGTGCCTGTGCCTGTGTCTGTGTCCCTGTCGTGTCGTGTGTGTCGTGTGTAACTCTCGCACTGCTCTATCTTTTAGCTCTCGCCACAGAGGCTCAGCCTCGCCTCCGCCCGCACGCTCGACACACGACAGAACCCGGACGACGTGCGTTTTTGCTTCTCTACAAAACACGCACACCCACGCCCGGCCCCAGTCAGCGGACAGCGCCATCGAGAACAAAGACTTTGGCGAGCCAACGCAGCCGAGAGATAAATTCTCCGCAAGAGCGCCTGCCGCGCTAGCGGTGCAGGCCGCAGAGCGCGAACTCGCCGTACTTCGCACCTCAACCTCTCACGCCAGACCAGCGCATAGCGCCAGAGGACGTATTTTTGGGTGAGAACGGCGTTCTCTCGGTAACCTCAGCTGTGAACGTCCCAGTTGTTTGCTCTTGCTTGCGCGTGACCTCTTGCGTGCACGCCCAAGCTCGAGCGGCATCACGCAGAGCGAGCTCTGCGCAGGTCCCGCGACCTTCTCGGGCAGGAGCCCACCTCTCCTTCCCTCCGTGCGCCCAACGATATGGGCAAATCCGCGCCAAAGCGCGCTTCCGACGCTGACCAAGACGTACGGCCCGCAGAGGCAAAGGATGGCTCTGGGCCTTGTTAGGTGCCGCCCTAACAAGGCTGTGAATAGCAGCTTGCGTTTGGCGTTGTGTTTTTGTACTCGCCGGGGCTTCCCGCTCGCCCATGTCCAGCAAGAAGCGGCGCCGAGCGCCCGCCGAGTCGCCGCCGCTCTCCGACGACCTCGAGTCTCTCTCCGCGCTCTATGCATCGACGCTGCTCGTCGCCTCGTTCCTCGCCCCAAAGGGCGCGGTGTGCACGTATTCGGTGCTTCGCTCGGCGGTCGCAGCTCAGGGCGCGACGCTCTCCCTCGACGACCTGAGGAGGATGGTCGGGCTGGACAACTCCATCGGCCTCCGTCCTCACGCGGCGGGCGGCAGAGTCGAGCCGGAGCTCGTGCTGCGCGACGCGCGCCGCCTCTCCGCGGCGGGCGTCAAGAGCCGGCTGCGCCACTTCCGCTCGCTGCTCGCCGCCCTCCCGGCCCAGGCGGGCGGCGGTGCGGCCACCATCTCGCTTGCGCCGCTGCCCGCCGGCTGCGCCGTGGACGTGTCGGGCGAGCCGGCGCCGCAGGGCGGCGGCAGTGATGCGGCGGCTGCGAGCCACGGAGGGTTCGTCCCGTCCGCGGAGGCGCGGGAGGCGGCCTCTCCCCGCCGCTCGTCCAAGCACTCCGAGCCGCGGCTGCTGACGGGGCTGCCTTCGCCGCCGCCAAAGCCGCTCCGGCGCGGCACCGGCTCCATCGGCGAGGGGTGGGCGGAGGGGCGGCCGAGGGCGGAGGGGCGGGAGCAGGGGCGGGAGCAGGAGCTTCCGGAACAGGAGCTGCCGGCAGAGGGGCCCGCGGCGGCGGCAGCAGCGGCGGCGACGGCAGCGGCGGCGGAGGAGGAGCCGCTAGCCGGTCGGGACGAGGCGGCGCGACCGGCGAGGCGCTCTCGCGCCGACGCCTTCCTGGCGCAGCTGCAGGCCCCTCCCCTCCTCCCCTCCCCTCCGCCCGCGGCCAGCCGTCGGACGGGACGGGCGGCCAGCCGAGGGGACGGGCGGCATGACGGTGGCTTGCGGACTCACGGTAGGCGTCTCCCTTTTACCGCGGCCAGCTGGTGTACGTGCACGAGACGAGGCCGGCGGCAGCGCAGCCGCAGCCGCCGCCCTCTGGCCTCTGCCCCGCCGTCACCGGCCTGCTGCGGCACGCTGGGATCGAGTCGCTCTTCTCGCACCAGGCGGCGCCCTATTGAGTTCGTTACTAACGAGCCGACGCATTCATCAACTCACTAGCTCTTCTCGCACCAGGCGGCGGCGGTGGAGCAGCTGCTGAGCCGCGGGCACGTCATGCTCGCCACGCCGACCGCCTCGGGCAAGTCGCTGGCGTACAACCTGCCGGTGCTGCACGCGGCAGCCACGCAGCCGGAGGCGCGCGCCATGTACATCTTCCCGACCAAGGCGCTCGCGCACGACCAGCTGCGCGCGCTCCGCTCGCTCGCCAGCCAAGGGCGCCGCGCCGCTCGCTCCGGCTCGCCACTCCTCTCCGTCCCTCCGCCCTCAGCTGCTGCTCGGGGCCCCGCCCCTTCCCCGCAGGGTGGGACCGCTCTTCGGGCTCGACGTCGCGACCTACGACGGCGACACGCCGCAGGAGGAGCGGCGCGCGCGCCGCGAGGGCAGCCGCGTCCTCCTCACCAACCCAGACATGCTCCACACGGCGGTGCTGCCCGCGCACAAGGAGTGGGCCGGCCTCCATTATTGTTATTATTATTATTATTATTATTATTATTATTATTATTATTCTTACACAAGGAGTGGGCCGGCCTGCTCTCGAACCTCCGCTACGTCGTCGTCGACGAGGTGCTACGGCGGCGCTCTCGCGTGCGCCACGGAGGCCTCCCTCCTCACTCGGAGCGCTGCTTGCAGGCGCACATGTACTCTGGCGCCTTCGGCGCGCACGTCGCCTCCGTCCTCCGCCGCCTGCGCCGGCTGGCGGCGATGTACGGAGGCGGCGGCTTCCGGTTCGCTTGCTGCTCTGCGACGCTCGGCGGCTCGCGCGAGCTCTTCTGCCGCCTATGCGACGCGTGCTGGACGTGTCCTGGACGTGTCCCATAGGCAACCCGCGCGAGCTCTTCTGCCGCCTCACCGGCGCCGGGGCCGGGGGCGCGTCTGGCGAGCCGCTGCTCGTGGTGGACTGGGACGGGTCTCCGCGCGGGAGAAGGCAGCCTAAGTAAGTAATTACTAATTGATTACTAATTAAAACTAATTAGACTGGGACGGGTCCCCGCGCGGGAGGAGGCAGCCGCAGGGAGCCCGTCGTTAGTGAGTCCCCGCTGCTGACGAGTCGCCGATGAGTATCAGGCAGCTCGTGCTGTGGAACCCGCCGCTCAGCGCCCAGCCGACCTGCATCCCGGAGGGGAAGGGCGTGCCGCAGCCAGAGGACGAGCAGCCGGAGGGCGGGAGGGGGCCGTCGCAGCCGCGGCGGGGGCGGGGGGCGGAGGGCGGCGGCGGCGGCGAGAGCGTGTGCGCGTACAACGAGGGCAGGCGCGGCGCGTCGGAGGGCGGCGGCGGCGGCGAGGGTAGGAGGGACGGCCACCGCATGTCTCCCAACATCGAGGGTGCCGTCCTGTTTGCCGAGCTGGTCCGGGCGGGCCTCAAGACGATCTGCTTCTGCTCGGTGCGCAAGATTTGCGAGCTGGTCCTCTCGTACGCGCAGCAGCACCTCCGCGCGAGCGACGAGCGCCTCGCGGGCAGCATCACCGCCTACCGCGGCGGGCTCAACGCCACCGACCGGCGCCGGATCGAGCGGCAGCTCTACGACGGCACCGTGCGCGGCGTGACGGCCACCTCCACCCTCGAGCTCGGCGTCGACATCGCCGCGCTCGACGCCATCGTGATGGTCGGCTTCCCGGGCTCGGTCGCCTCGCTCTGGCAGCGCGCCGGCCGGTGCGGCCGCGCGCCGGACGCCGACGCTCTCTGTTTCGTGGTTCCGTACCCGAGCGCGATCGACCAGTGGGTGGTCCGCCACCCCGCGCGCGTGCTCTCGATGCCGCTCGAGGCTGCGGTGGTCGACATCGACAACCACCACATCCTGGGCATGCACCTCCTCTGCGCGGCGGCGGAGGAGCCCCTCTCCGCCGCGGCGGGAGACCGAGAGCTGTTTGGCGAGCGGCGGTACGACGAGGCGCTCAAGGCGCTCGCGGCGGCCGAGCGGGTGATCCCCATCGCCGAGAACCCGGGGAGCTGGCGGGCCCACCCGCTCGTGGAGGGTCCGGCGCAGGGGGTCAACATCCGTGCCATCGAGCCCGACCTCGTGCGTGTCGTGCACCGCTTCCGGCGGCGCCGCTCGCAGCCGCGCATCGCCGAGGCGATCGCTGGCGGCGGCGGCGGGGCGGAGGCTGCCGGCGAGGAGGAGGGCGAGGAGACGATCGACGAGGTCGAGCGGTGGAGGGTGTACTATGAGTACTTTGAGGGGGCCGTCTTCCTCAACCAAGGCCGCAAGTTCGTCGTCACCTCCCTCGACCTCGGCGCCGGCGTGGCCCTCGTGGCGCCCACAGATGTGCGCTACTACACCGCGGCGTGCGACTCGACGAGCATCCTCGTCCAGCAGCGCCTCCCGCTCCCCGCCGCCCCGCTCGCCGCGAAGCCCGACGGCGCAGCGGCCGGGACGAGCGCGGGCGGGTGCGAGGCGCTGTTCGGGCGGGTGCGAGTGCGGCTGGCCGTGCGCGCCTACCTCAAGATTTGGCAGACGACCGGCGAGGCCTTTGAGGAGGTGCCGCTCGCGCTGCCGCCGAAGGAGTACGACACGCGCGCCTGCTGGATCGACCTGCAGCCGGATGCGTGGCCGCGCCGCCGCCGCCTCGTCCTGACCGACCGGCCGTCGCGGAAGTGGGTCAGCGGGCTCGGCCCGGGAGGCGTCAAGCGCGAGCTGCAGCCAGCCGCCCCCCGCGCCGGGCCTCGAGTAGAGGAGGAGGCTGCGGCGGCGGCGGCGGAGGCGGCGGACGACGACGACGAGGAGGAGGAGGAGCTTGCGATCGATCTCGAGGCGGGGCTGCATGCGGCGGCCCACGCGCTGCTGGCGGTGACGCCGCTGCGGCTGAGCTGCAAGCCGGCCGACCTCGGCTGCGAGTGCGAGGCCTTCAAGGAGCGGAAGCTGCGCTCCAAGCGGCTGCTCCTCTTCGACCGCTGCGTCGGTGGGATCGGCCTCACCGAGCGGGTGGCCACGGCGATGCCCGAGCTCCTGCGCTCGGCGCTCGAGCTGATGACGAGCTGCGACTGCGACGACGGCTGCTGGCTGTGCGTCCACTCGTCGGTCTGCACGGAGTACAATGCTTGTACGAGCAAGAAGGCGGCCATCGCCGTGATCGAGGGCCTACTCGCCGCGCCGCCGCCGCCGCCGCCGCCGCTCGGCGCGGGCTCCAGCGGAGCGCCCAAGGCCGAGCCGCGTGCACCGCCGCCGGGGTCGAGCGAGGAGGCACCGTCGATGCTGGGGCGATCTATCGGGATCTTCCGCTCCATGGCCATGTCGCAGTCGAGGAGCAGAGGTGGTACTTAAGCCGAGTGGCATTACGTACACGGGTGTGTGTGTCACTGTCTCAGAGGTGTCAGTTTTGAGACGGTATAGGGGTACTCTAGCGAATTTACACTGCGTTGAGCAGCCCATGTGCCTGTGCTTAGATTTTACCCGTTTTATTTATTTATGTATGCAAAAGAGGAATGCAGATTATCGGGAGGGACGCGGCCAGAAAGAGGGCGGGCGCCGAGTTTCGAAAGCCGGCGCTTTCGCGCGTTCGAAGGGGCTTGTCTCGGAGTTTGTGCAAATTTGGGGCTGGCCTTCGCCCTGCGGCGAGAATATGTGTCGTCTGATGTGTCACTGTGTGCGTCACATCAGTCTTGATAGCAAAGCACGGTCGATCCGTCAAAGCGATACACTCGTTCCTATCACATATTCTCCCACCCACCGGGACGCAAAACGCTCTCGGGGAGAGCCACAAGAAGGCGTCCACACAGCAAGCCACTCGTCGGACAGGCGTGCTCGCTCGATGCCGGCGAGCGCATGGCGCACGCTTTGGACGGTGGCGAAGCCAAAAACACCGATGGTGGCCGTCCGCTGGCGTGAGCGGCGGCGGTCGAGCCTCACCCTTCGCGCCGACGACCCAACCTTACGCGGAACAACCCAACCCAGGCCCACACAACCCAACCCAACCCAAAAAGCACGATTCTCCTGTTGGGCCCTCGTGCTGTCGTATGGGATCGAGTCGGGCGTCTACGTCGTCGGTCGGTGCACAAAAGGAAGGGGTAAGACACAAGACACCCTGGTATGAGAGGGGCTCTTCATCGGCCGAGCACAGGCATCATCACGACGGTGCATCGCATCGGGCCACGCGTAGCTCCATGGTCAAATCAGAGGACTTCACGCAGCCGATGGACGCGGAGGCCGACGTGCGTTCGCCGAAGAAAGTGGCGATGCTCACGGCGGGCGGCCTCGCGCCGTGCCTCTCATCAGCCGTCGGAGCGCTCATCACTGAGTCCGTCTGCGCCGCGAGCTCCGCTGCCGCGTCTGGCTGCTCCTCACCGCCTCGCGCGCCGTTTACGTCAGGTACGCGGTGCAGCACCCGACGACTGAGCTCATCTGCTACATCAACGGCTACAAGGGCCTGCTGCTCGGCGAGTCCATCAAGGTGTGCCCGGCAATCCGGGCGACCGCTGCGGCGCTCCACCAGGTGGCCCCTCGCGCACTGCGCGCCGCGCCCCTCGGCCCTCCCTCCCCGCCTCCGCCGGTTTGCCCGCCTCCCCACGCGCCTCCGACCCCCTCGCTCGCCCGCCGCGGCGCAGCACGGCGGCTCTCCGATCGGCAACTCGCGCGTCAAGCTCACAAACATCAAGGACTGCCTCAAGCGCGGCCTAGTCAAGGAGGGGCAGGACCCGCAGCAAGTCGCCGCCGACCAGCTCATCGCAGACGGCGAAGCACGACCCACCACCCCCACACGTCTCCCGGCCTCCCACCCACCGGCACCGCAACTCTTCAACCGCAACTCTTTAACCGCAGGCGTCGAGGTGCTGCACACCATCGGCGGCGACGACACAAACACGGCAGCCGCAGACCTCGCCGCCTTCCTCCAGCGCCGGAGCGGATACGCGATTCGAGTCATCGGCGCCGCCCGCCCGCCCCGCTCTCCTCCCCACCCGCCCGCCCGCCTCACGCCCCCTCCCTCCACCCCAGACCCCCTCCCCGGACGGCAGGGCTGCCGAAGACGATCGACAACGACGTGCTCTCCAGCCACGCGCAGTCGCACCGCCTGCGCGTGGCCCGTGGCTGAGCTCGACTGACCCCCGCGTCAGGTCTTCCCGATCACGCAGTCCCTCGGCGCGTGGACCGCCGCCGAGGAGGGCGCCCGCTTCTTCGAGAATGTCGGCGCCGAGGCGACGGCGAACCCGCGCATGATGATTGTGCACGAGGTGATGGGGCGAGACTGCGGCTGGCTCACCGCCGCGACGGCGAGATGCGGCCGAGATGCGGCCGAGATGCGGCCGAGATGCGGCCGAGATGCGGCCGAGATGCGGCCGAGATGCGGCCGAGATGCGGCCGAGATGCGGCCGAGATGCGGCGGAGATACGGCCGAGATGCGGCCGAGATCGCCGCCGCCCTGGAGGCGAGGGTGCGTGTCCCGCGGCCCCGCCCTCCTCCCTGCCTGTGCGACACCGGGCGCACACGTCCCCCTCTGGCCGAACGGCGAGTTGTGAAGCACGCAGCGGGGGAGAGTGGCTCCTCAGGCGCACAAGTACCGCGAGAGGCTGTGGAAGCGGCCGCTGCTGCCGCACATCGGCTTGCACCGCGGCCGGCTAGACGTGCACGCGGTGTACATCCCCGAGCTGCAGGCGAGATGCAGCCGAGATGCAGCCGAGATGCGGCCGAGATGCGGCCGAGATGCGGCCGAGATGCGGCCGAGATGCGGCCGAGATGCGGCCGAGATGCATATCCCGAGATGCAGCCGAGGAGGGGGGGCACGTGGCCAGAGATGCACAGGGCGGGCGGAGATGGGGTGGAGATGGGGTGGAGATGGGGTGGAGATGGGGTGGAGATGGGGTGGAGATGGGGTGGAGATGGGGTGGAGATGGGGTGGAGATGCCCGAGAGAGCCTCGGTCACACACACACTCACTCACACACTCACACACACACACACACACACACACACACACACACTCACACACACACACACACACACACACACACACACACGCACGCACACACACGCTCGCACGCACCCACACACACGCTCGCACGCACCCACACACGCACGCACGCACGCACACGCACACGCACGCACGCACCCTCCCTCCTCCGCACCTCCCTCCCTCCTCCGCACCTCCCTCCCTCCTCCGCAGGTCGACATCGACGCTGAGGCCGCGCGGCTCAAGAAGATCCTCGACGAGCACGACAACGCGCGAGATCAGCCGAGATGCAGCCGAGATGCAGCCGAGATGCAGCCGAGATGCAGCCGAGATGAGGTCGAGATGCAGCCGAGATGCAGCCGAGATGCAGCCGAGATGAGGTCGAGATGAGGTCGAGATGAGGCACCGGCCGGGCGAGGCAGCGCTAGACAGCTCGGCCGACCTCCCCCCCTCCGCCTTCCCCCCCCGGCAGGTCAACATCTTCATCTCGGAGGGTGCGGGCGTCAAGGACATCGTCGCAAAGATGGAGGCGGACGGCAAGGAGGTGCAGCGCGACGCCTTCGGCCACGTCAAGCTCGACTCCATCAACCCCGGAAAGTACTTTGCCGACACCTTCTCCGCCCTCATCGGCGCCGAAAAGGCGAGCGCAGCAGCGCCCTTGGGACAGGCGGCCGCCCCGCCGCAGAGCCCCCCCCCCCCCCCCTGGGCAGGTCCTCGTCCAGAAGAGCGGCTACTACGCCCGCGCCGCAAAGGCGAACGAGGCGGACATCGACCTGATCGCGCGCAGCGCCAAGCTGGCGGTGCAGTGCGCGTGCGAGGGCGTCTCCGGCGTAGTGGCCCTCGACGAGGACGCGGGCGACGTGCTGCGCTGCATCGAGTGCGGCCGCCCCTCCCCCCTCGACCTCCCGCGGGGTGGCGAGGCGGGAGAGGAGCGGGGGCTGAGCCCGCACCCCCGCGCCGCGCAGGTTCCCTCGCATCGCCGGCGGAAAACACTTCAACACGGAGCGCGAGTGGTTCCAGCAGATGCTGCGCGAGATCGGCCAGACGGGCGGCGCGGGGCCGTACCCCGTCAACCACTGAGTTGCGCGGAGCTCTGCGCGAGGCGAGGCGCAAGACGACGGCGCAGACCCCGTCACATCCTCGCGGCGCCCCGTCCCCGCGCCACCTGCTGCGCCATCTGCTGTCCCACCCGGGCCGTGCGCCGTGGGGAGAAAGGGGTTCGACCCCCATGATCCATGCTCGCAGCCATGTGCCGTCTTTGTACTACCGTAGCGGTTCGTAAGCTAGTACTGTCGGGGGGAGCAGTGGGGCGGGAGAGAGAGGGCGGTGTAGCGCCTCCATAGAGCTGTCTCCCATCTCGAGCTTTAGTGTCTCTTCTGTTTCTGCGTACTTCGTCGCGCCATTGTGGCGTGACCATGTGGGGAAAATGGCGCCGCGGCACCCGCGCTCGTGGCAGCTCCAGCTGCGAGCTTTCTCGTGGAGGGGTGGAGCGTGGAGCACTTGCGACTTGGAAAATGGAGCGCTGCAGCGCTGCGGAAAAGGTGTGAGTGAGTGCTGCCTTTTCTTTCTGTGAAATTCTTCTCTGTTCGTGTATATGTGGAGGTGTTCCCGGGGCATAACTCCCCCACAGCGCAGACGTTCACACTTCCACACCCACAGCGCCTCGTCCAAGACCTGTCTTGTGAGTCCTGGACTTGTCTTGCTTTTCTGCTCGATTACATTTTATGTCGCTTCACTACATCCCGCTCTCAATCCCCTCGATGCTGGCGTTCGCCGCGCTCCTTTGCTTCACGCACGCGTCCTCCCTGCCGATGGCATCGATCATGGCTTCTCCTCAAGCGAAATCCGGGCTCACTGAGCCCGCAAGTGCCGAGTCTTACGCTTCTCCGCACGTCACCGTGCTCTACGAGGAAAATGTTGATTTCGCAAACCTCGCCTTCGACTCGCTCTCGCTCTTCTACGAGACTGAGTCGACCCGCTCGACGTGCTCTGCATCGGCCGCTGGCACTCCCTACGCTTCTTCGATCGCCGACAGCAGCATCGGCCTCAACGTGCCGCCGACGCACCGTCGCACGACCGTCGATCCTTAGGGGACCCCTAGGGTTCTGAGGGCCGGATTCTTTTAAGACCTCGTCCTACCGAGCGAGTGGCTTGCTGCGCTGACGGCTTCTGCGGCCCTCGCAGCTCATCACACATCAGAAGAGGGGCCCGCTCGGGCAAGCGCCGCAACGGACGAGCTCGAGCTCCAAGTATGAGTTCATCGCGTGGTAGATCGAGCGGCGTGGCGTGGGGCGGTTGAGCATCCCTCCGGGGGCCCCTCTGCGCCGGGGAGGCGTTGTTGGAGGCTAGGTTCGCTAGGACGCAAGCGTCCGTCGCCTTTTTCAATCAAACTCGGGTCCCACTCCGCTACGCTCCGACTCGAATTTGGAGGGCCATGAAGTTTAAGGTGTTGCTGCGCAAAAGGGGCGGGGCGCGGGCGCGCGCGGCAGGCCGAGAGCTCTTTTTGGAGATCAGACCTTTCGATGGTTCATGCTTTCTAGTCTATCTATCATGCTTCATGACACGACACGCGGTGGTTGGAGCTGGTGGAGCTGTCAGCTGATCGTAAGGGAAGTAAATAAAAGTGAAATTGCGTTAGACATTAGTGCAACGACAGTCGTACGCTTGTGGCCGCTGTTTCGCCTAGTCCTTCTGGACTTGTGGATAGAGATGAAAACATTTCCGAAATTATTTTTCTCTTTTGGTACCAGTCTTCGCGTGAATTCTTTTTCTGAGGCACGGTCGATACACCACCACCGTGCTCGGAAAGTCCGCGACGACTACTCGTACCCGGCTGACTCGTATGATATGCGTGGTTCTCCGGTCTTAGCCGCAGATTGGGCTAGCCGCGCTACCCTCCCCAACGACAGGTCATATGTCCCAACGCGTTGGAGGAGGCCCTCGACGCTCCTGTGCCTGGGCATCTGCTGCGTCGCCCTCGCCGTCGCCGTCACCATCGCCGTCACGACTCGGGGTGACCCACCCTCGTCCAGCACTGACCCTCCTGCGTCCAGCACTCAAACACTGAAGGGAAACGACTCACCACCATCGGTACCCTCCTCTCTCCCATCGGACTCGCCGCCCTCGCTCTCGCCCTCGCCGCCGCCGCCCACGCCGCCGCCACCCGCCTCCTCGACCTCCCCACGGAGCTCCTCGTGCGCTCCCTCTCTCGCTGCGACCCCGCCGACATCGGTCGCGTCACGGCCGTCTCGCTGCTCTTCCACGCCTCGCTTGCGGCGGAGGGCATCCGCTTGTGGGCGCAAGAGCGCGGCTTCGAGCTGCCAGCCAGAGGGCGAGGGCTGCGTCGTGTTCGTGCGGTGGCTGTGCTTCGCGGCGCTGCTGTGCGAGGCCAACCCGCCGGCGAGGGCGGCGGCAGGCCTTCAGCACAG